CCTCTGACCCTCCTCCCTCTCACACTCTCTGTCTCTCATTCTCTCTCTCACAAATAAATAAAATCTTTAAAAAAAATAAAAATAAAAAAATAAATGCAGTAGCATTCCAAATTGTAGCAAGGTCTTGGATCATCAGAAGGCATCACTTATAGTCATATTAAAGCTTTATTCATTTCTTATTCAGGTAAAATATACATAACATAAAACTTACTGTTTTAACCATTAGTAAGTATACAGTTCTGTGGTATTAAGTATATTCACATTGCTTTGCAACTTTAAAGTTTTTAAAGAGAAAATAATACCTATTTCTTAATCCTTCAGATTTTCCTATTTCGCCCTTAATACTTCTTTTCTGTTGATCAACTTTCCTTTTCTTTTAGATGCTGAGGAGTTCTTGGGGGAAGGTTTGCGGAATGAGAATCTCAGTGCTACTGCGAGGGACCACAGAGACCATATTCTACGGGGTTTCCAACAAGTCAAAACTAGGTTTGTATAAACTGGGTCCATTTCTTGTCAGCTTTGAAACAATTCATAGTCAGTAAAATCTACTTTCATAGTGTATCAATTAACCATGTAGGACACACTTACCATAGTTTTTTATACTTGACAGAGGCTTAATAAATTTTTACTGAGTTGAATTGGAGGTAGGGAGGCATGGTTAATGTAGCTAGCTTACCAAAATAAAAATACTTTCATCATTATGTATCTTACGATAATGAATCTGCTTTTAGCTTTAGATTGTTATGTTCATCTTTATTGAATGCTTTTGCAAAATGTGTAAAGCTAAACATTTATGCTTGTCCAAACTACCAAAGGGAAGATGTTAGGCAGTTAGAGATAATTGATTTTTGTTATAATTTTTGGTTCTGATTTTACTTCCACAACTCCTTCCCTAATAGAAAACTTAAACCAGACTTATCCAGTTGATTCTTTGACCATATTGGTATGTTTTAGTCTCAGACTGGTTTGGAGTATCATACTCATTGACTTTTTAAAATAAGAGGTCCTGACCTAATTTGTGCCTTTTAGAATGTGAGCATCTGGCAGATACATATACTTTCTAGGGGGAGAAAAGAATAAAAATTTTCTTTTATAATATATTTCCTTATAATATATTGCCACTTTTTGCTTGAGATATGGTAACTGAACGAGAATTGGGGATCAGTTCAGTGTTATTTTAAGCTTTCTCAACCCTATGGCAATGTGGTTCAGAATGTTTGAACTAAGCACTCTTAGAAAAGAGAGAACATCTGTAGGGTTATGACTGGGATTTAATTTGTGTGCCTGACTGATCTGAGCATCTACTTTAGAAACCTCGCTGAAACTCCTTAGAAGCAGGGAATTTTCTCCTTTGGAAGGGCACAGTCAGAATCTATTCCCTCCAGAAATGTGAGAGAACTTCACAAGATGCCCTGCTGGATTTTAATCGATCTTTCCTGCTGGCTAATTAAGCATCACTTTTACTCAGCAACTGGAGACTGTGTAATTATCAGCCTGGGTTGCCCTGAATAATTGAAACAAACAGAATGCAGAAGATAGGAGCTTTTTGCAAAAGTGAGAATATCTATAATTTTTGGTATGCTGGAAGAGTGTTTAAAACAAACTTCTCCATAATGTTACTTTATCAGTAGATAAGTTAAGACTTACTTGTGTATCTGAAGCCTTCATTAGTAACCCATAGAATTTATTTTCATGAGTTGACCTTTGTATTACAGGATTATTATAAGGATTGCCTGAGGAATAAAGGTGGCATTATTTCAAATTGTAGGATAGGGAAGAGGGATGCCCAAAATATAATTGTGTAATGGTGGTGCTATTGGTATAAATTTGTGATAAGGAATGCAAAAAAAATGTTACTGCATCTTTATGAACAAATATATACAATGAGGAGGAATTCTCCTGTCCCATATTTGTACTACAGTGTTTGGAGGGGCTAAATTTCAATCTGAAATTGGTAATAAAAGGTGATTTTGTGGTAACTCATTGTTATCAATTGCATATTATTTCTTAGTCCTCCTTTTTAATGCACACACACACCCATGCACACAGAAAAGAGCTGTATTTGTTATGGGTGGAGAGGGTTCCTTGTTCTCAAAGAACTTGCTGTGTGGTTTGTGGGATAGAATTCAGGAAATAATCAGCAGGAGCTTTAGGAAACATCTGATGGGAGCTTTCTGTTCATTGATTTGTTGCAAGAAAGATGACACTTTATTTAGAATTTCATAATTATCAGATCACGGAGGAAATGAGGAGCCAGAAATTAGATACTGTACCAGAAAATGGAAAAATGAGGCTTTCCTTTGGCAAGCTGTTTGAAATTGTCTTACATCCACCCATTCAATCATCATCCTGTTAATGTAACCCTTGTTTTACTGAATGTTCTTCTTCAGCCATGTTGCTTCTATAGTCCTGTTTATGGCTGGTCAAATTATATACTCTATGTATTGATACCGAAAGCTTGTACAATACCGCCACATTTACTCTTGCTGTATGGCATTTTATCTCATGCCAAAAAGCCAGGTGTGAAAAGAAATTTGGAAATCATCAAACTTGAGAGTTAAATGTATATGGCAAGTTGCCGTGTAACATGGAAAGAACCACTGAAAGTTGTTTAAAAAGTTGTATCTTTAGTCATATTAAAGCGAAGATATTTTAGGGTTTGGTACATTTTGGGGGATAAGAACCTATCTAAAATTATGATTTGACACTTCAGGGCTTACTTGAAGGTGGATAAGAAACCTCAAGCAGGAGGGCGCCTGGGTGGCTCAGTTGTTAAGCGTCTGCCTTCAGCTCAGGTCATGGTCCCAGGGTCCTGGGATCGAGCCCCACATCGGGCTCCTTGCTCGGCGGGGAGCCTGCTTCTCCCTCTCCCACTCCCCCTGCTTGTGTTCCCTCTCTCACTGTCTCTCTCCCTCTGTCAAATAGATAAATAAAATCTTTAAAAAACAAAACAAAACAAAAACCTCAAGCAGGAAATCTGAGAAAGCCACTCAGTAGATATAAATACTATGTATACTCACACACACACATATATATTCCCCCCCACACACACACACAACTTTCCACTCTATCTTTGTTGTTTTCTTGCTTCAGTTCCTCTAATTCTTTCCTCAAGTTGAGCTGCTTGAGAATGAAAAGGGTAGAGAGTAGTGAAAATAACTCTGCCTCTGATTCTTGGTAAACTCTAGAGGCTTGGCCCTAATTTTTATGGTGACTCAGAATTCAGTGGTGTTTGCCACGGCTATGGAATTGCCGTAAGTCAAAGTGTCTGACTCCATCACAGCTGTTATAATGTGCCATTTGCCACCTTTCTGTTGTCTAGTGTGACCAGCCCCAGGAAATGAGAGTTGTGTCAAGACTCATGGATGTCCTCCAAGTGCTTATCTGTTTCTCAGTACAGGTAGCTTAGCTGTTCTCTTTCCTCCCAGACTTAGAAAACAAACAAAAATCGTATCTGTATCTCTATCTACACACTATTTTTTTTTTTTTGGCTTTCATGTATCACCAATGAAGGATAATGTATTCCATGTAAGACAAAAAAAAAAAGTACTAATTCCTGTGACTCCAAGGAAGTGAAGCTGTTTTGTGGTAGTCCATGTCCTGAGCTGTGATATTCATTGTTCTTCTTCCAACTGTCTCATTTAAACCTTCTCCCTAAAATCTAACAGCTTTCGCATTCTGAGTCCAAGTTTTCATTGAGCTCTTTAGAGAATGATTAGGATGAAAGCCAGGCACAGGCTCCTCCTGTTTTATTATGGTGGTCACTGCAGGATCAGCGCCAGATGTGGGACACCTGGAATGAAGCAGACAGGAGATGCACTTCGACGCTTGACGGCGGCCTCAAGCATTTGCAGAAACAGTTGAGCATTTCTTAAAAGTTTGATTCAGTGGAGACCATCTGACAGCAAGAATACCTTGAGAGTGGGGGAAGGAATGAAGAAAAAAGAATATTTTTATTACTGAGTTAGGGATATATTCTTTCTTGATGGCCTGTTTTGGAACAACTGGTCGTTTATGCTCACTGTTGGAAGTGAAGGTCAGAGCCAATGGAAACAAACTTGGAGTATTGTTTCCTTCTGTGAAACTTAAAGGAGCTCCAAAAGAGACAGGTAGATTTATAGCATATTGAAAGGGAAAGAAATCAAGAAATAACTTTCTGTAACAGGATTATGGCACAAAACCCAGGACGTTTAATGTACAGGCTGAAAGAGTATCTTGAACGTGTCTCATTGTGGGTGGCTAGTGTATAGCTCTGCATGAAACATGATACTTTAATACAAATATAAAAGCAATTCAGTTTTCTTTAGGAAGTTCAAGCTTTTCTTTCCAGCTTAATATGGATTTAACTTTAAAGCAGGATTTAGCTTAAGAATGTATCATCAGGGACACCTGGGTGGCTCAGTCAGTTGAGCGTCCAACTCTTGATTTCGGCTCAGGTCATGATCTCTGGGTTGTGAGATTGAGCCCCATGTCGAGCCCTATGTTGGGCTCTGTGCTCAGTGGGGGGGTCTGCTTGAGATGCTTTCTCTCCCCCTCCCCCTCCCCCCCGCTCTCTCTAAAATAAATAAATAAATCTTTTTTAAAAAAGAATATCATCAGATGTCTTTGTTTTATGGGAAGAGAGATGAAAATTTAGTCTGACACAACTCTTAGAAGAGTTTCAAAATAGTATACTGTAAATATCATTACCATTAATTACATAGAAGGTTTGACCTTTCATAAGTGCTGGTTATTGAGCTTAAATACCCCAAAAGAAAACACACTCAAATGAAGCATGCTTGAAGAGAACTAAGGTATAATGTGCTATTATTTAATGTGTTTGTGTTACTTGTGATTTTAGTTATTTGCTCATAATATCTTTCTGATGTTTCATTTTGCTACCTACACTGGAGTTTCATTGCCAACTCAGAAAAAGAAAGAGGAGGAGATACTTGTACAATCCATCTAAGTTTCAATGGCTCTGAAAAGGCTCCAAAGTTATAGCAGTAATTTGACCATATCTTGAAGGTTAATAATTCATTTCTTCCTTTCTCAGTCTTATCCCTGCTTTCCATCCTTAAACCAAGAAAGGAAACAACCCCGCAACAAATTCAGGGCTATCACCAATCAATTATATGCCAAATTTCTGTACTAGTGTTCTGTTATTCAGTGAATGTATGTTGAGATTTCACAACTGTGTTAAAAGATTTTTGGGGATATACTTATCTGACAGTGAGGGGTTATATTTAGTGTTCTTTGACTCTGAAATGCTCTGCAGGTGAGACTGATATGATATCCCCCACTTCTGGTCTCTTGGCTTAACCTGGAAAGGAAGATCATCTTATTATGTGTTGTTTCCTAGCAAGTCTTCTGCTCTTCCCAAGCGGCCTTGAAATATATAACTTGCCTTTTAATGTTATGATGATGATTATCACTTGTAAGGCTATCTTGGGTTTGGTGCCAGATCCAAGATTAAATTGATCCATTTTTTTCTTTTACACTGGGTT